ACGGCCAGACCCCCCCGTGTGCAGCCCCCAGACACCAGCAGCCATGGGCTCCAGGGCCATCCAAACCTCCCCAGCTCCCTTCAGGTCCCATCGCCCCCAGGCACGGCTGTGGGGCACAGAAACTCACCCAGGGAGGATGGAAAGACCCCTTGGACTCTGCTCTGGTGACACCCCATACTGTGTCCAGGTCTGGTGTCCCCACCAGCAAAGGGACAGAGATCTGCTGGAACGAGTCCAGAGGAGGCCACAAAGATGGTCCAGGGGCTGGAGCATCTCTGCTCTGAGGATGGGCTGAGGGCACTGGGGTTGTTCAGCCTGGGGAAGAGAAGACTCTGGGGGGACCTTAGAACTGCCTCCAACACCTGAAGGAACCTCCAGGAAGGCTGGAGAGGGACTTTTCCCAAGAGTGCCCAGCGACAGGACCAGGGGAAATGGTTTAAACTGCAGGAGAGCAGGTTTAGGCTGGATCTTAGGAAGAAGTTCTTCAGTGTGAGGGGGGCCAGGCGCTGGAGTAGATTGCCCAGAGAGGTTGTGGAAGCCAATCCCTGGAGGTGTTCCAGGCCAGGCTGGATGAGGCCTTGAGCAGCCTGGTCTGGTTGAGAGGTGTCCCTGCCCAGGGCTGGGGGTTGGAGGAGATGATCTCTGGGGTCCCTCCCAACCTCAGCCAGTCTGTGACTCTCTAAAGTCACCCACAGAGGATGTTTTCCATTGTCCTCCACCAAGACACTCTCAATTTAATTGCAGCTGTCCATGGCACATTGTCTTCTGCTGCTCTGTCTCCTGAGTCGCTTTAGGGACCTCAGTCCTGGCTCCTCTTACACCTCAGGGGATCACTTTGGTCTGAGATTTCAGACAGAAAGCATCTTCCTTCAGCCATGAGTCCCCAGCAAAGAATCAGCTTGGCCTATAGGACCCAACAGCCACATCTGGTGGGGGAAACCTCTCACTGGCATCACCCTGGCAGACCCCACACAACCAACCATACAAGAGTGAAGTCCTTGGGATGCTACTAAAGCAAAGCCTTGACAATGCAGCCCCCAAACTGGTAAACATGCCCTGAAAATGCTGCTCTGCAGGAGCTTCACTGCTGCAGAACGTGGAGCAGAGCTGCTGCTGTTCCCTTTTCTTTCCCAGACTGACAACTCATTTTAAAAGGAGATTTAAGGAGCTCACGCCCCATCACGGAGCTGGAGTTGGCTTTTGACAAGGGGCTTTGGGAAAGCTCTTGGTATAAAGATCCAGGATTTACTGCCCCAGCACCAAGGTGTGAGTCCTCACTCATGCCAAGCAGCTGCCTGCCTGGGAAGGCAGGAGATGAGTAAGGAAAGCCCAGAAAAGACTCTTATCTCCAGGCTGGGATGGGGGATGAAGGGATGGGTTTGAGCATGACCACATGGTGGGTAGTAACAGAGCCAAAAGTAAAGCCAGAGGCCTCTAAACCAGCCCCAAATAAACCCCCTCCAGCCCACAGCTCATCTTTGGCTCTGCTCCAAAGCACCTCTGCCCAATCCCACCCCTCTTGCTTTCAAAGGGCCTATTAATTACCACCAAGGCTGCTCTGAGCCCCCACCAGACCTTCTCTTTGTCTTTATTTCTGCTCCTCTCAGCTGGGGAATCGTTTCATTTCTGTTTCATGGGGTAAACTCCATGGTTTAGGACTCCAACAACTGCACTCAGTCCTGGGGGTGATCATAGAATCACTGTGGTTGGAAAGGACCTCTAGGATCCTCAAGTCCAACCTTCATCCCAGCATCTCCCTAACCAAGTGCTGCATCTACTCGTTGTTTGAACCCCTCCAGGGATGGGGACTCCACCACCTCCCTGGGCAGCCCCTTCCAGTGCCTGACCACTCTCTCAGGGAAGAAATTCTTCCTCACATCCAATCAAAACCTCCCCTGGGGCAACTTGAGGCCATTTCCTCTCGTCCTATCCTCAGTAATTTGGGAGAACAGACCAACACCAGCAAAGTCTTTTCTACCCATTGCTTGGACTTGTTGAGGGAGCAGCACGTGCCTGCCCCAGATGTAGAGATTTAAGTAGAAAACCCCCAAAAGACTAAATCAGGGCTCTGAATAAAAGATGTGCATTCAGGGCTTGAGAAGGTGGGTGATGCCTGGCTGGCCCCCGTGGGGTAATTAGGGGAGGCAGTAGCATGTCTATGCTCTAATTGTTGTAATTAGCTTAAAAAATGACTTTATGGAGAGGAGGAACCAGGGTAGGCAGCTGAATGCTCTCCAGGCAGGCAGCTTGAAGAGCCCTTGTGGTCTCCTGGGGAAAGGTGTCACACCCCATGGTGGAATTCTGGATCATTACAGCATGGCCCCAAGCAGAAATGTGCCCTTCCCTCCCCCAGCAAACCTGCACAAGAGGGGACAGGCTGGAGCTCAGAGACCCCCAGATCTGTTCTTCTTGTCACCTTCTACATCTTCCCTGCCTGGCAGGAGGTGGGGACAGATGGGCTTTTCCCTTCTCTCTAAGCTGGTTGTCTTCCTGATAGGAAATCTCATTTTTTAATAGAAACCATGAAACAGTCAGTGGTGCCAATGGGACGGGGCAGATTTACAGCAGCTGTCTTCAGAGTCTCCAGCATTTACACTCTTCCTGCCTTCAAAGTCCCTGAGATCCTGGCTGCAGGCTCCAGCTCCCAAATCCTGCTGCAGCTGAGCTGTTTGAGGAGGACAAATCTCTCCAATGACCCCTCCTGCTGCCAGGCCAGCTCGACTGGAGGTGTTGCCAAACCCTTCCAGCCCCACCCCCTGCCCAGTGCTGCCTGCCTGCACCAGAAGTGCCACCTGAAGGGCTGGTGATGCCCATCCCCACCTCCAGCCTCAGCATCTCCGTGGTTTGTCTCTCCCTGGAGCTTTTGTGGTCTTGCCAAGGGGGTGTTGATCCCACCAGAGGTGGTTCTTAGAGCTGATGATTCTCTAAACAGAAATCCTGCTCCTTGCTGCTGAGATAAGAGCAGAGGGCAGCCCTGGAAGGCAAGGGCATGCTGGGCATGGAAATGCAAGACCCCAACACAGGATCTTCTGCTCTGACACCTGCTGCTAGAATAGTTTGGCTTGGAAGGGACCTCCAAAGGACCTAGAATCACAGAATGGTTTGGGTGGGAAGGGACCTTTCAAGGTCATCCAGTCCAACCCCCTGCAGGGACAGGGACACCCCCAGCTAGAGCAGGGTGCTCAGAGCCCCGGCCAACCTCACCTGGGATGGTTCCAGAGATGGGGCAGTGACCACCTCTCTGGGCAGCCTGGGCCAGTGTTCCACAAATGAGTAGGCTTTAAATGGAATGAATCACTCAGAGTTACAACAACGTCATGAAGCAGCTGTGGAGTGAGGTGAGGACTTTGGGGACTCCTGGAAGGGCTTGTGGCAAAGGTGAGGGCATGAGAAATGCCCATGTTGGGTTTCCAAAACCCATTTCTGCTCTGGACTTCAACAGCTGGTGCCTCAGCCCTCACAGAGCTCTTTGCCTTCACCCTTACTAAGGTGTTACAGTCCAGGCCAGAGCTGCTGATCTTCTCCAGCCCACCAGACACGACCTGACAACAGCAAAACGTTTCTCTGCTTTAACTGAGAAGTTTCCACCCCATGCTCACCCACCAGGGAGTGGGCAAACACCATTTGTTGTCTCCTGGATGGTGAGAGAGCAGCGTGCCAACGTGCAGGAGGGAAGATCTCCACCCAGGCTTGCTGAAATGCAGCAGCTTCAGGTGCCTTTTGGTACCTGGTGGCCATGGAGAGATGCCCTAAGGATGTAGTTGATGGTGAATTCCATGTGTGTTGCTTTGAGCTGAAGTGTAGCAGCTGTGGCTCTGATCTCCACAGAGGTCTGAAGCAGAGCAGATCCTCCAAGAGCTGCTGTTCACCTTCCTTGACTCAATTTGTGGCTCATTTTGGGGTGGTTGGAAGAGCAGGGAGGAAAACAAGCGAGGCAATCATAGATTCATAGAATGTCTGGGCTGGAAGGGACCTTCAGAGGGCATCTAGTCCAACCCCCCTGCTATAACCAGGGACATCTCCAACTAGATCAAGCTGCTCAGAGCCTCATCCAGCCTGACCTTGAATGTCCCCAGGGATGGGGCCTCCACCACCTCTCTGGGCAGCCTGTTCCAGTTGATCCATCGCCCTCATATTGAACTTTTTCCCAACATCTAACCCAAATCTGCCCTTTTCTAGCTTAAAGCCATCACCCCTCGTCCTGTCACCCCAAACCCTTGGGAATAGTCCCTCCCCTGCTTTCCTGCAGGCCCCTCTCAGGTACTGGAAGGTTGCTAGGAGGTCCCCCTGGAGCCTCCTCTTCTCCAGGCTGAACAGCCCCAACTCCCTCAGCCTGTCCTCACAGCAGAGCTGCTCCAGCCCTCGCAGCATTTCTGTGTCTCCAACGGTCTCCAATGAGGCAGGAGGGCTGGCAACAAAAGCAGGGGGCCAAGCTGGGGGAGAAAATGCTTCTGCTGGCCAGCTCTGAGATGCCTCATCAGGATTTGAGTCTGCTGATGCTATAACACATCACCCCCATCGATGGGCCACCACGGGGACTCGGGGAGGGTGCTGCACCCCGGGCCACCAGCACCTCCCCATGGTGTATCCTGAATAATGTGACTATTTCTGTGTGCCCTGAAGGGGTTCATGCTGATCTACAGGATGAAACACTCTCCCCTGGGCTCTTCTTACAGCCACAGAGTGTGAGAGCCTTTTGGCAAAGAGCATCCTTCCTCAGGGGGTTGGAAGGTGCCCAACGCATCGAGTGGCTCCTACAGCTGGACCATAACCATGGAAGAGCAAGGCAGAGGAATTCCCAGAGTCCATGGGCCTTCTGCAGCCTGAAGGACAAGGACAGTAGCTGGAAAAGCTGCTACCCTCCTCCCAACCCATTTGAAGCAAGGCAGAAAACCAGCTTTTCATGCTGAAGGTGCCCCTCAAGGGGCAGCAGCACGGAGCAACCCCTCACACGGACCCCCCAGAGGGATCTTGGTGTGCAACTGGAGCTTAGGACTTACCCTTTGCTCTTGGGTGGCCACGAAGGTCTGGAATCCAGGGGCCACCCCAAAGCCCAGCTCCTGGACAAAGGGTGGCTCAGACTGGCTGTGGATCTGGACCTTGACTCCAGCTTCGAACGTTGTCTCCTCTGGAAGAAGAAGAGGGAGAGTCAGTGGGCTGTGGTGGTGGGATGGGGTCCACCTTCCCTTGCCCCACCAAGGAAAAGGGTATCTGGTAGATCTGTGCTGCTCCAGAGCAGGAGATGAGCAGTTGGGGGTTCTCCACCTGCCCGAGGAGACCTCTGGGTGTGGAGGAAGGAAACCCAGCAGCAGAACACACCCAGGACTCAGCCCAAATCCCCACTGCTGCCCACTGGGACCCAGCCCATCCCCAGGCTCCTGGTCCTTACACTGCTGCCTCCCCCAAGGGCTCACCCTGCCTCTACCACAGGGATCCATGATTCCTCCAGCTTGGTCCAAGCTAGAGAGAAAACAGGAGGGGCCATCTGCTTTCCAGCTGATATTCAGTTATGGGAGGCA